TTTCCAGTCTGTTGAAACAAGACTTTAAAACTATCCATCGTGGATTAATGGTAATAAGCCGTGCATCTTTAATTGCTGCCGAGTCATTATTCACAGAACTTATTAATGCTCATATGAAGTCTTTTGGGTTCTTTGCCAATAAGATTCTAAACGACCCCACCCATCATTTGCATCCTGATGTAGCCTCCTGTCGCTCCCACTCGAGCACTCGTTCCTCTTATCGGTACCTACCCTCTCGAATAAAAATTTATAAGGACTCCCCTGGCTCTAACCAACAAGGAACGAGCTATAAATGAATTACGTCAATCTTTAATAGAAGGAATCAAACTTTAGAGACATTTAATTTTTCTTACTCATAACTCTATTGAATTTCTTGTCGTTTCGGGGATAGAATCAAAAGGGGTTCTACGTCGAATAAAGAACACCGGTAGCGTTGCAAACCAACGCATGCGGATCAAATTCTAAACTTCAAAAGTAATCATCCAAACAGCCACAAAAGATACTGTGTTGGAACCTTGTGCGGAAGAATCCAAACACACTGCAGCACCGACACACTCGAGAAGAAAGATATATCCTCAGAGTATTTGCTCGCAACGGCTACACGCGCAACTTCATTAAAAGAACTCTAACCCAAAGAAAGAAAGAAACAACAGACGGAGAATCAGGAACAAGAACTACCCTGCCATACATCAGGGACGTTTGGGAAATGACGGCAAGACTGCTCAGATCCTATGAACCCCAAGTCGCCCACAAACCTACCGCCTGTCTAAGGAGACTTCTGTCAAAACGAAAGAAGAAAACAATGGAGAAGGACAAGAGCAGAGTTATCTACAAAATAAATTGCAAGAACTGCTCAAAACCCTATATCGGACAAACTGGGAGAAAACTGTCCACAAGGATCCGTGAACACCCAGCGGCAGTCAGAAAACATGACCCACTACTATCTTTGACTTCCCTCCACGAAGATCAAGAAGGACATCAGTTTGACTTCGCTTCAGTGAAAATTATCGACCAAGCCCGGTCACAACACGCCAGGGAATTTCTCGAAGCTTGACACCCCTCAATCAACTCAATCAACAGGCACATTGAACTGGAACTCAAGGATCAAATGACGCAACAAAAAGAAAGGTCACGGTGTGACCTGAGAACGGACCGAAACCGCAATCAGGACGGATGGACAACCACCCCTCCCCCTACCAACCTCGCCCCCACGCACCAGTTTAACGGCGAACCCAGTCGAACACAATGAGAACGAGGGACAACAATGGTCGGTGGAGAAGAACACATATAAACGAACGGATACAGGCAGAAAACTGCCACTGCACAAGCACTGATGATGTCACTTCGGCTGGTGATGAAACGTCTGCAAACAAATTGCCAAGCTCGGCGAACAGGCGAAATAGAACGTTAAACAACTGTTCTGGAAGGAATTCCACTGGACGCGGCAATCGACGGACTCAAAGGTCAATTTAATGTTCAGAAAAACGACAAGGGTTTATCATCTATGTATGGGGTATTCTTCCAACAGCTGGCGGAGGATGAAGAGTGGATATGTGCAACCAGAGATGGCAGGCAATCTAGCCAGGTCTTCATGGCTCGACTGTTTGTGAACCTACCTGTCCATGGGTCCGTGCGTCAATGTACATGATACTGTCGTACCGTCTACGTCGAAAATTGTCCTACCAAAGCAATTTATTTAGTCCACTAATACGGATAAGCGGGAGCAGCTGCCAGATGCTTCGCAGCTTTGACAACGGATCCCCTCTCCCTTGTGCATAGGGCCAATCCGGCTTCTCTTTTGTGAGTTCGCGATTGAAAGTGAGGCGCGGTTTACTACATTCATTGTTTATCGGGATAGCCCGACGCGCTTCATTATGTCTAAGAGAACCAGGGGGAAACCAGTGTCTTATAACCTGGTGGATAAGGCCACAACTACGCAAATCAACTGAGCGCATTGCATCTGGAATCGTTTTGAGGGGCGATGTTCTACACCCCTTGGTTGGCAACAGCTAACCGGGCCGCTAACTCCGACAATTCCGACAACTGACCAGATCGGATGGAACAGAAACAATAAAGTGGTGTCAGTGAATCAATTTAGATGTGAGAACTGGTGACCACGCGGTTTTATTCCCCATCACCGGGGCCCTATGGTTCTAGGTTCGAATCCTACCACTATCAGGATTTTGATGGCTATAGACAGCCTAGGTGACGTAAGGCTCAATATCAACCCAATGCTGTTGGTTCCTTATGTGAGTCACCACACCATTTGTCCGGGTTTCCTATGCGTGAACGGTGGGGGGGGGGGAGAGGGGGCTTATCCTATCCGCTGATAAAAAAACAGGACAGTTACCAGCTGCGGTGCACTGGGACGGATGCTCCATTGTGATCGATCATGACCGTTCTAACACTGGGCCCATTCTATGCACGATATACCGAATTTGTAATTTTTACTCTAAACGAGGTATATTTTAATCATTTACATGAACTAAGATCTTTAAGTGGGCTTTTGCTTTATTCGGCTCATTCACATTATGCCTTTCACTCATTTGTTATATGGTTTGTAGCTCAAGAGAAATTAATTACCACGAGTGAAACGAAAATGATAAGTCTTCTCCGCCTGTCCATTTGATGAAATCCCGTGGCAAGACTGTTTCTTATTACAACCGTCATTGTTATATGCGGTACTGTAGAAAGAAGTAGCCCCTTGACAAGTACATCTCAACCAGAGACGACAAAAAAAACAGAAACGCAGAAACAACTACGCATAACATATAAACTGAAAAGAAAAAAGCTGATACATAATAGCCAATAGGGGTTTGACGGCGAGGGGAATGGGTGAGTTGGTGGCTAGAGGGAGGGAGAAATAAACAGTGTTCAGCTGGTAAGAGAAATGTCATGCAGTGGGCTGGTACAATTTCGGGCCTACACACCGTGGGAGCGAGCATTCACAAAACATGCGTAGCAGACTGGTCCTGTTCCGCCACGCCACTCTTTGAATGTGGTTGTGTATCCTCGTCCACGGCGGTCACAAGCAACGGATTGTACGCTTGTGGTGTGATCCATCGAAGCGATATGGTGGCCGTTGTGTTCCCGGTCTCAGCCACATTCACATCTGGATTCGGATAAGACGATTGGTCGGGATGAGCCGAAGCCGTGACAAAAGTAATGGCATTTGTGAGATCGTTATTTTCAGCCGCAGCACGAATATTTGGCGGAGAGGAATCGGTTTGTGCGTCCTCGTTCGGATCGGATTCTGTGTGTACCACCTTCAGTGAAACGATGGGGGGGGGGATCAAAGGCTTTATTTTTCCTGTGGATTTGGTCAACGTAAGCAACAAATCAAGGTAATCCAAAGACCTTATTCAAATGAGCTCGCGTCAAGTTTTTAGCTGGTTAAACTGTTTATGAATGGCATACCACTTGTTTTCGAACCGCTTACAAACTCTGAGTTTGTTAGGAATGGGTGTATAATTTATTCATGACTTTCTTTGTGCCCCATTTTTAGAGGTTTATTGTCCCTCCGGCGACAGTTCTGGTCACGTGGATCTATTATGATTGAACCGGAAACAAGGCGGTAAATTTCCTTTGATCGACAGGCAGATGATTAGTTAACTTAGGGATTTTACTTCCTGTTCATTCACTTGATGACAGCGGTGTGCGTAATACGGATGCTTGGCTGACAACACGGTACGGAAGCTTCAAACAGCTATCGACAATAGCGCATAGCGTATTAACGGGGGAGTAGGGGCAGAGTGAAAATCCACAATCAGCGGTAACAGAAAAAAACCCGGAGAAAGTGATGCATATCCCAAGCAGTCCGCAAAATGCACATATTGGTCTGGGAAACATTTAAAAAATAGTAGTGACAGAGTAAGCCAATAGCAGTGGTCACATCACAAACTGACATAAAAGGGACCGCGTTTCCACAAAACCCTCAAAGGCACAATCAGACTGCTATATCCACGGTCAGGAATGTCCAACTTGAGAAGGCTGTTGTGAACATCGCGTGAAAGCGAACCTCATTGTACGGTCGTTGTTGTTGTTTCGCATGCATGGTTAAGTTCCATTGAAGCGTTTTCCACGACAGTAGAGCATACGTGGTGCAGACGCAAGAAACCAACTTGCTGAAAACGAATGGATTAGTCAAACTGCGGGAGGGGGGGGGTGAAGTGCACGTATGAATTTGCCTTTTTTGGCAGCAGATGTATGTCGCTTCCATTGTTGCTTCGGTGTTTTCGGGGCAGTCAATCTATTCACTGCATCCCATGCCAACTGCAGAACATCAAACACGGACGGAATGGAGCCTATACACCTTTGAGAATTGTTAATGCGTATCCGGTCTCAGTCTAATTACCACATACTTAGAGTAAAATAAAATTTGAGTATGTATCATATATTGCACTTAATATCTGTTTGTACAATGCCACACATTTGTTTACCAAGCCAACCGATGACTCAGGAGTAAGTTAGGCTTATATTCATGAAGGGTTAGTGGGAATTAATGATGGAGATGAGAATTTGAGTGCGCTGGTCAATTGCGATATCAATCATCCACTCAAATGATGGAGCCACACACGGCAAGGGAATGGGGTACTTGTTCTGCAAAATGTACAGTGCTAAAACAAAGAACTTACAAAAAAATTCGTAGTTTCCGTCCTATCTTGGCATGGTTCAACGGTTTGCCGATTCAAGTCCTTGAGTTTACGGATTATCTTCAGTGAAAAGTAGATCCTGGTGACTATGAGATTTTCTGCGATTGTGTGCAGTAAAGGAGAACCAGGAGTGCTCGAACTGTGCAGTGACCGTCAGACATGTAGGCGACAAATTTATGCTGAAACCAGTTACACAATCGGAAGCAATACTGCCCGAGACGGATTGATTGCAAACGTTTCACAATCCGATTATATCTATCACATGTGGCCCAATGCACTTTCGAGTGAATTCTTCTCGACTCCGGCGAACATTATTAGCAAGATGATTCAGTGCTGTGTAGATACTGTGGAGAAGATCGTGGTCAGAAAGAAGTCGGTATACATTGCCTTGCCGTTCAAGGGGGATAGATCAGCAGAGATAATACAAAGGAGACTATCCGATACTCTTAGTAAAACCTTCTATGCAGCAAACCTCAATGTTTTGTTCACTTCCCAGCCAATTGTGTGTTTACGACTGAAGGACAACATGCCGGATTCTGCCGTCTCATTTTGCGTGTACTCATTTACGTGTTTCTGTGGAACAACGTACATAGGCCGCACGGTCTGGCGTTCGTCCGAACGAATCCGTGAACACCACCC